GCAACCCAGACTCCAACGTCACCCACTACTGCCTCCACCCTCCCCCAGCCAGCAACGACAACCACTGCTGGCACCACGGTTCTCCCCCGTCCCACTGCCCCTCCAACAGAAGGCACGACCATCATCACACTAACACCAACAGTGCCCACCTCAGCCAGTAGCACTGCCAGCACCTCCAGGACCACCGCAGGAAGCACCGCAACGTCCACAGCTATATCTGCTCCAGCAGAAACCTCCGCTGTGACAACCCAGACTCCAACATCACCCACTGCTGCCTCCCCCCCCCCCCAGCCATGTCTGCTCCAGCAGAAACCTCCGCTGTGGCAACCCAGACTCCAACGTCACCCACTACTGCCTCCACCCTCCCCCAGCCAGCAAAGACAACCACTGCTGGCACCACGGTTCTCCCCCGTCCCACTGCCCCTCCAACAGAAGGCACGACCATCATCACACCCACACCAACAGTGCCCACCTCAGCCAGTAGCACTGCCAGCACCTCCAGGACCACTGCAGGAAGCACCGCAACGTCCACAGCTATATCTGCTCCAGCAGAAACCTCCACTGTGGCAACCCAGACTCCAACGTCACCCACTACTGCCTCCACCCTCCCCCAGCCAGCAAAGACAACCACTGCTGGCACCACGGTTCTCCCCCGTCCCACTGCCCCTCCAACAGAAGGCACGACCATCATCACACCCACACCAACAGTGCCCACCTCAGCCAGTAGCACTGCCAGCACCTCCAGGACCACCACAGGAAGCACCACAAGATCCACAGCCATGCATGCTCCAGCAGAAACCTCCGCTGTGGCAACCCAGACTCCAACATCACCCACTACCGCCTCCACAGTCATCAGTACCAGCACCTCCAGGACCACTGCAGGAAGCACCGCAACGTCCACAGCTACGTCTACTCCAGCAGAGACCTCCGCTGTGGCAACCCAGACTCCAACATCACCCACTACCGCCTCCACAGTCCCCAAGTCAGGAATTACAATCACCATAGGTGGTACAGATATTCTTCCAACGTCTGTTTCTTCTACTGGACAAAGTACTGCCACCACTGTTTTTCCCACAAATTTCACTACCACAAGCAGCCCAGGTATGTCATTGTCTACCCCTGGAAGAGTTACAAACAGCTATTTCAGAAGAACAACATTGGTATCATTGTCTTCTGTGACTTCTTCCACTATCATCCCTATTTCTTCCAACACATAAACCACTTTTTCACGTATCTGTCCCTCTGCTACTAGTATCTGTGTTAGACAAGTGTGTGAGTGGACCCCATTGCTTATATTACTTATCCTTAGCTCAAGGGAGACAGGGGTGGCTTTGAAAATTTTGAAAACACTGGAGCTAAATGTCATAAGATTTGCCAAATCCCAGATCATATTCAGCATACAGGTAAAAGATTTCCACAATCTCCACTTAGCAGTAGGTCAAATAGTTGAATGCAACAGAAATGTTGGTTTGATTTGCCTGAATGTTGAACAGTCCTCTCCAACATGTTAAAATTATGAGATCAAAAACCTGTGCTGCAAACTAAAGTATGTCTTGTGCTCAACAGTAGCTACAACTGGTACATCACAATCAAGTCATGTTACAACAAGCACTTCTGCAATCTTCAGTTCTTCCCCCAGCACACCTGTCACAACAGAAGCAAGTACATATGTTACATCAAGCAGAACAACTCCATGTTTTTGTCACGTGTTTGGTAATTTTTTTTCTCCTGGTAAGTGTCTTATTTTATCATTATAAAAGTTTTCATAAGCAATATAAACCCTTAATACTCTATTCAATTAAAGATAACCACCCAAAATCATCTAAACATAGAACTTTTTATACACAAATACACTTTATATTCTCACAATATTTTCTTGTTTTTTTTTCCCCTAAGTATTTTTGTTGGTCTTTTAATTTCTCCTCCAATTTTTCTTTACAGGGGAAGTGGTATACAACAGAACAGATAGGGCTGGCTGTAATTTTTATGCACTTTGCAGCAACGAATGCGAAATTGACCCATTTCAGGGGCCATGTCCTTCAACAACTCCTTTCACTTCAGTCACCTCAGAAACTACAACACAAGCTGCCTCATCCACAGAACGTGTATTTTCTTCTGTCTCACCAACCCCAGCAACATCCCTCACAACTTCAGTAGAAATAAACTGTACTGATGTCAGTCCTCCACGAAAGGTGGTTCCCCTCATGATTTTCTAATGTATCAGCATTGCAAAACCAGCCCAATTTCTGTCCTCTAATAACCAATTCAAATCAACTTATATGTATTTCAATAACAAAGTTGGTCATGATACAAATGACCTGATAGCACACAATTCTTCAACCTGGCATTACCAGGCTTTTAAGTAATCTGGAGACGGAAAAGCTCACTAATACCATGGCAGAGACTTTTTTTAATAAAAGACATTTAAATGTCATAGAAATAAGTAGACCAGCTATGAAAGTCTTAAAAACTCATTCCTTCTACACAGAAGAAAATTCTGTGATTGTTTTCAGCTTGCCTGCTCTTAAGGCCTGAAATCATATGCTAAGAAAACTCTAATCTGAACTCCCTACCAATTTTGAGAGTCTATCTCAAGGTGACCCAGAACAACTAGGGTGAGAGAACACTTAAGAATAAATCATTTACGTATTTTCAGCCTGGAGAGAACTGGATAAGTGAATGCCAGAAGTGTGTCTGTGACCCCCTCACTACTACCGTACAGTGCAAGCCGCTCCTATGCCAAACAGTTCAGACACCAGCTTGTGACCTAGGATTTTTTCCCATGTCTGTACCAACACCAAAAGACCCGTGTTGTCCTGAATTTGAATGCAGTAAGTATTAAACATACATATATACACACCAGGCTACACACTCTGGTAAATTACATTTGCACTTCTGTTAAGTTCTTCATGTATCACAAAACCAGCAATACTTTCCTTAAATTATTCTGGCTCAGTGAAAACACATCAATTTTTGGCTAAATGTGCATTAGAAGTTTATTTAAAAATGAAATGTTATTTTCAATGAAGTTTGCTGAGAGAATTGGAATGGGTGGGAGAGCAGGATAATACTTTGAAACTTCAAGTGGTCTATGTAGCTCAACTATCTCTGTATCTGTAATCATAAAAGTTATTAATGCATTTTATTTAATGTTATTAATGTGACATTGGAACACATTATAATTATCCTACTGTAGCTAAACTAAGATGCATAAACATAAGAATAAGCCAGCAGAAAGCTTAACAGTTAACTACAAAAACAAGTAACATGAAGCAATAATACAGAGTGAATTGTAATCAGTAACTGAATTATCGATGTATGAAAAATAATAATTGTATTTACACTGTTGTTGAATGCTCATGAAAATTTAAAAATCCAAGTTATGTATGATTATTTATATACATGTATTTTTATACACATATATTTATACAAAAGAATAAAAAGAAAAAGGTAGCCATAAATTAAGCCCGAAACAGGAAGATGAAAACAAAGGAGCAGCCAAGTTTGAAGTAGTTCTGTGAAAGACATGAATGGGATCTGCCATGTTGTCAAATTATTTATATGACCACAGTAAGAATACCTTTTTTCCACTCGGAGTCAATCTTCCATCCAAGTCATGTTCTGAGAGGTCATAAGGAATCAATAACAAAGGCACCTTTGAAGGTTACTGGACTTCTAGGGTTCAAAGAGGAAACAACTAATTTAATTTGAAGTGAACCTGATATCGAAAGGGAAAAAAAGGGATTTTTCATGTATAGCTCGAGTTTGAAACCATTCCTCCTCAACTCTTATAGCTAATTTCAAAGGTGAAACTTTACTTAAACATCCAGCTATACTAAATATGAGGTCTAAGCATGTAGGGGGGATTGAATTCAAGTTTTCCATAATCTCTGCGTTACTAACAAGCCTTGATAAAATCTTGACTTCTCAGGAAGTCTCACAATTTGAGTTTACTCCGGAATTTTTTTTGTTGTTTTTCAGAACCAATGCCTGGCATCTGTGTGATTAATGGTACAGTGTACACGGTGAGAATGTTATACTTATAGTGCTGTATTGCTCAAAGTGAAATGTACACCCTTTCTACCAAAATAAGCCTTTGAGAAAGTTCTTTTCCCAGTACATGTTGTTTTATCTCTAGCCCTTAACTGGAAAGTTGTTTTTTTTCCTAATGTCAAAATCAAAGTTGTCACAGAATTGTTACTCAACATGTAGCATAAAACAAGAGCGTACCATTTTTAGTGCTGTACTTCTTTTTAAGCTCTCTCCCACTTCTGGAATTAATGAATTTTCCAAATGAGCTGATGAATAGCCCAAACGGAACTATTCTTTGAAATAAGCCCAGAGAACATTCAAAAATAAAGCTAGGATTTTTGCTTTAACTGATACCTAAATCTTTTGCTAAAATTGGTACTTAGGTCATTTAGTCAAAATTTAAACATTAGCCCTGGAACCTTTTGGGGATACATTTCAGAAAGACTAAAATCCATGTGTAAATTTGTATCTCTGTTTATGTATCTGCACATGTATCCAATTATTTTAATCTCCATTTGTAAATTATAATTGTTTTATAACCACTGAACATGACTTACAGGGAAAAAAAATTCTTAAATGGAGCATTGGTAAGCTGGTAAAATAATGAGGCAGTACAAACCACTCTTACCTGCATTTCATTAATTTATTTTTCTCTTTTATATTGCTTCATTTAGTTTCCTCCTAATATGTGTTTTCTTGCAAGGCATAAAGCCAAACAACTTTATTATGTTCGAAGAGAGTTGAACAACTCAGTTGCACTTGCATTTCAACAACCTTAATGGTTCTCAGTAATGCTTTGAACTCTGCCTATATATTATATAGAAACTGTTTCCATTTGAATTTTTTTTTTCTGTCTTCTAGCTTGGAATGTCAACAGTAATCAATTCATGTAAGAACTGTACCTGCAGTTCTGAGAAAGATCCAGTGACTGAGGCAAATATTGTGCATTGTGAAACAGTTCAATGTGAAACATCTTGCCCACTGGTAAGTTCAGATTCTCTAGGCTGCCCAGTCAGCCCTCAATTACAGGAAGACTAGAATTCTCCATCACCAGCTCAACATACTTTCTCTTTCAACTCCTTGTGAGTAGGGTCAGCAATATATGACTGAGGATGGAGAGTGCTGTGGGAAGTGTATTGAGGTAGCTTGCAAAATTAAGCTAAGTAACAACACCGTTCACGTGCTCAATGTAAGTATTCCTTTCATTTTCGGATCTCTCTATTAGCCAATACATGTTAGAACAGCTAAGAGTCAACTCATGTCCCTTACTAGTAAAAATCTAATTAACTCTTAGATTACTCTGAAAACAACACAGCAGTTTTCTGAATTGAACACTTACTTGGAATAACAAATTCTTGATATGCGTGGTTAACTGGGCAATAGTTTCCAATTTGTGGTCTGAATGTTCAGGTCCAGGATTTAAACTTCCAAGCTAGCCACAGTTTGCAAAATTTTGCTTTTGCCACTTGAAAGAAGTTCAGAAGAATCTGAGAATCTTTGAGGTGTGAGAACTTAATTAGCTCAGACATTTTTGAAGTAATCATACTATACCTGATCACAATGAAAAAAAAAATTTGTTTTCTTTTCTTATAAAATCTTAGGTTAATGACGTCCTGCCACTCGATCATTGCAGCCATTACACATGTGAAAAAATTGAAGATCAATTTGTTGCAGTCCAAACTAAAAAAATATGCCCCAAGTACAACCCAGGAGAGTGCGATCCTGTAAGTTTTAATCAATTCTTCAACGACTGAATGCAGTTTAAAAGAACAAGGCGGGGGCAAGGAAGAATACAACAAATCACTTTCACTACAGATGCAGGAATGTCTTAAGAATGAAGTTAATCTTGCTCTAACATTAGTAATAAGAAAAGCTTAGTATTTTTACATGAGGCTACAAAGATTCTAGACTTCTATGGTAGGCAGAGTAAGTCATCCACGGTTTCATTCAGCGTTCATCACAGAGGAGCCTTCTGCCCAGTATCAGTAATGGTAACTCACATTCTTACTTATGATTGTCATCTGTGCATTAATACAAATCCTCCTTCTTTACTTCGGTAAAGGATGAAGCAGAGACTACTCCCGATGGCTGCTGCAAAATATGTAAACGTAAGTAATGCTGTGTTCATGTTTTCTGCTTGAAGAGCACTGTATTCAACTTTTAACTATCTTTGCGTGGATGGAAGGATTCTTCACTCCCACAGGTTTCAGTTATTCTATTTATCAAGACCCTGTGTTTCACTATTTATTCAAAAGGAAAAAGCAAATTTGTTTTCCTGATACTGAATACCACAACTCAAGCCACCAATACTCAAGTCTCTGCATTATCTTCCAAAGACACTGTAGAGCTGATATCAAAGAATAACCTGAAAACTCCAGATATATTATGCAGTATTATGCAATATGTCACATATTGCAGAGTATATCAATAATCAGACATCATGCACTTTGAAATTGTTCTAGCATTCATTTAGTTCTGAACTAGAGATTTGAAGTATACGTTTTTCCCCCCTCTTCTTCTGAAGCTACAAACTGCAAACCTTACAGCAAGAAAACTGTGATCCACCACGGTGACTGTGAATCTTCTGAACCTGTAGAGCTGGCATATTGTGAAGGAACTTGTCCTGGCTCCTCAGTGTAAGTTCCAAAAACTTAATTTAGCATCTCTATGGCTTCATTTATACCTGTCATCTCTCAAGTTAATCAGTCACCCAAGGGTACTGAGGGAGCTGGCAGAAGTGCTCACCAAGCCACTTTGAATCATTTGTCAGCAGTCCTGGCTGGACCTCCAGTTGACTGGAGGTTAGCAAATGTGATGCCCATCTACAAGAAGGGCTAGAAGGAGGATCCAGGGAACTACAGGACTGTCAGTCTGACCTCGGTGCCAGGGAAGGTTATGGAGCAGATCATCCTGAGTGCCATCACATAGCATGTACAGGACAACCAGGTGATCAGGCCCAGTCAGCATGGGTTTATGAAAGGCAGGTCCTGCTT